AGAATATGCCAAAATTTTGCCTAGCTGAATAAGGTCACAGAAGTAGCACCAATGATACAGGGAGACATCTTGGCCAAACAACAGTGTCTTAACAGGCACTGTTATATCTCAGTTTTTGACTTTGCAGCTGGATACTACACAGTAGAGGTGCCAGAACAATGGAGACCATACCTGGCATTCTATGTAGAAGGATGAGGCTATTTTTGGTACAAGAGAATGCTGCTGGGGATTACAGGAGCACCCACAGCATTCTGCAAAGTGTTAGCAGCAAGACTGCATGACCTACTGGTAATGTACTTCATGGAATTGTTCATGGATGATGGAGGTTGCACAGCTGATACATTCAGGGATATGATGGACAAGTTGGCCATTATCTTCACATGGTTCAGAGAGTGTGGGTTCTCAATAGCTCCAGGAAAGATGAAATTCTGCATATTGGAGACAGAATTCATGGGAGGTACAATTGGGCAAGAAGGGGTAAAACTGGATCTAACCAAGCTCACAGCAATCATAAATTGGCTGAAACCAGTGAATGCAATGGGATGGTCCTTTGCAAGACCTACTACTCAAGGTCCCACTAGATAGCTCATATGGCAAGACTGCATACTGGAAAGCAATGACTGATTTTCAACTTGATCAATATTGGAAAATAGAACACACTAACACATTTTTAGACCTCAAGGCAGCTATTACAGCAAGACTGATGCTGCAAGCACCAAGGTACAACAATTCAATATTCATTGTAACATCAGATGGGTGTATGTTACAAACTAGGGTAGTTGCAACAATAACAGCTTGATAAGAGTAACAGCTAATATCAGTTCAAGACCTTGCAAATACAAGGGTCATAAGACAAGGCAAGGAGAGTGTCCTCAACTTGAATGTCGGTGTTCAGACAACTTAAGATTGGAGGTCTTAAGCAAAGGAAGTTCCAGGTAAAACCTAGTAAGATTAAAGTGAGGTTCTACAGCATATCAAGTAGACTATATATAGTGGCTACAAGTACTTTAGGGCAGGCATGAGAATAGAGGTGAGTCAGAGATAAGAAGATGAGTCAGAGATAGCAAGAATAGGTCACCTAGTGATGGTGATAGTGATGGTGATGTAATACAATGTGAGTCAGAGATAAGACAAGTCAGAGATAAGTCTAGTGGTGGCGATGTGCAGCATGTGATGTAATACAAAGTAAAAGGAGAGAAAATGAATAGGGGCATACTAGGGGCATACATGACTGTAACAGTGTATAGAAGGATTTGCAGCAGTTTTGTCACAAAGGGTGAAGGTACAGACACCTACTGGAAAATGGGTCAAATGTATACACCCAATAGGTTTCACATCAAAATGGACATTGCAAACAGAAAGAAAGTACAAATCCTATTTATTAGAGTTCACAGCATTAAAATTCAGGTTTGATAAATTTTCAGGGATAATATGGGGCTTCCTGGTTGAGGTCAAAATGGACTGCAATGCATTAAAGGATACTTTACTGAACCCAATGCTAAATGTGGCACATGCATGTTGGATAGAGGGTATATTGGCATATAATATTGTAGATGTAAGGCATGTCCTGGGGAAGCTGAACATGGTTGCAGATGGACTCAGCTGCAAATGGGAAGGAATACCACCAACTACAGGAGACAGTAGCAAGTGGATGGTAAGTAGAGATTGGGAGGCTTAGACAGGACTGGCAAATGATGTGATGCTTGTGATATCAATAGACCCAACAATAGAAAACCTGTGAATAAGATTTACTAATGAACCAGTGTTTCTAGAAGTTATTGAGGTGATCAGTAACCTGGACCAAGATAAGGATGTATGGGAAAAATGATGAGCCAGACATTGAGTGCTACAGTATATCATTGAAGATGAAAAATTGTGGCACTTGAAAGGGGGAATGGAAACCAGAGCATGAGCTAAGGTAGAATGTATATCAAAGGAAGAAGCAAAAAATTTAGCAGAAAAAGAACACACTGAAGGGAGTCATTGGGGGAGAGATGTGGTGAAAATGGCATTATTGGATCAGATTTGTAGCCCAAAGTTGGACACTTCAATAATGGAGGCTATACAAAACTGCGCTAAGTGTAAGAGTTTCAGATCAACACATTTGCACTCACTATTGGAACCAATTACCAGGAGACACCCATTTGAGTTATTAGTAGGCAATTATCTAGCACTCCCTAAAGGGAAAGGCGGATATAGCACACTAAGAGTCTACCTCATCGTATTTTTGCAACACCTAAAGGGAAAGGCGGATATAGCACACTAAGAGTCTACCTCATCGTATTTTTGCAACATACTTGGGTATTCAAGTACAAGATGGCAGGCAGTGCAAAGACAATGATGAATAGTCTCAATGGCATCTTCAATGCATTTGTGCCATTGGAAACCTTCATGATGGACAGTGGAAATTACTTTAACAACAATGCAGTACAAGCATTATATGAAGCGTGACAATGTAAACTGCATATCATGGCAGCATACTCACCATGGGTAAACAGCCTGGTTGAGGGAACTAATAAGCTATTGCTACATGTTTTAAAAAGGTTGTGCACACCAGATATAGGAGAAGATAGTGAACAACAAGGAGTATCTTGGGACAAGCTCCCAGTGAAATGGCTGGACTACTTGGATGACACAGTTCATGCTTTGAACCACCATTTGTTGCCAGCACTAAAATTCTCTCCTGTCAAGGTTGTACTGAAGGCTAAATTAATCCAAAGGGCTTTGGCCTTAGCTCATGCACTGTGCCCCTTACTCAAGTATTGCCCCTTATTTCAGGAAGGCAAGACTAATGTGTCCAGAGGGTCAGACAAGTAGCATAGTGGATCCAGATGACTTCTGGATGCAGAATAAGTATTGTAAGGCTAATCTGGATGAGTCCAGACTAGAAACTAATGGTAGTGGACTGTTGTAGACAGAGGCGGATATAGATAGACTATAGGAATCAATCCTAAGTCTTGGAGGGTGATGAGGGTAGAGGTACTCAGGTCTGGAGGACAGGAATGAGCAGAACTAAGTTGATATTTGAACTGAGGTGTTACAGAGAGTTACAGGAGGTTATATACTATAGGTATCTAATGGAATGATCAATCAGCAGGGTCTGAGGCTATGTACAAAGCATATGGATAGTCTATTGGTAAGTATAAACAAATCACAAATAATGAAACAGAAATGAAGCATAGGTAACGGATCAGTGAGCAGGACAGATATACAGATAACTGAAATACTGGAGTCAGGGGATTACCAAAAGGAGATGAGTGCTGGTTGCAGATTTGGATGGATTGTGGACCAGACCAGATGAGTGGGCAGATTGGATGATGAGATGTTGGAGGGAGATAAGATGTGGATCAGATCTGAGATCTGGATATGTGGATATGACATCTCCCAAGGAATTGCTTCTTGGCCTTGTGATGAATACACCAAGAACAAAGATCAAGGATAGTACTTCAACACTTAGGCAATCAGACATGTTGACACAGATGGCATACATGGAGCAACAATGTTTGGATGGCTACAAGGAGGCAGTCCATAATGCTATCAAGCATAAAGTGATGTTCAATAAGAAAATTCTACAGAGAATGCCTGGTGAGGTTATTTTTAAAATCAGTCAACTGGTTCAAGTATATCATAATGATTTAGACTATACCTTCAAAATGGAATGGAAGCTAATACCAAAATGGTCAGTTCCACACCAAATTCAGTCAAGAAACCTCAACTTGTACAAACTGGAGATGTTGGAAGGAAGACCAATGCAGGGAGAATTCAGTGCAAGACATTTGAGAGCATTCACTCCCAGGAATGGTACTCAATTGGTGAAGAAGCAAGAGATATGTGAAGCAGAGAAAAGAAATAAAGAAAAACTAGAGAGTGGAGGAGAGGAGGAAGATAATGACAAAGAAGAGGAAGATGAAACAGAGGATGAAAATGAAAGGGAAGAAGGACTGGTAGAGGGAGATAAGAATGGAGAATAGAGGAGAGTGGCATCAAGGGTGGCATGTGTTCTTTTTAGGGGGGTGCATGGACTAGGGGTCTCATGGGTAGCAGAGACAAGTAGTGATGCATTGGGCCTGGCCTGTGAGTTGGACAGGCCTGAGCCTGGGGCTCAGGCCCAGGCTTCCTAGTTTGGAAACACCTGTGGCATATTCCATCTTGATGTACAGTTTATGTGCCACTGGTGAGTGATTCTTTGTGTGACTAATCTACTAGCAGAACATGATATACCATACTGATGCCTCTCACAGTGATCTCTGATGATGACACACCTGCCACCATCACTGTGCAAGCCAAGTGCACTATCATTCCATCATCTTGTCTTACTGACTCTAACAACACCACAACACCAGAACTCTGCAGTCACAAAAACATTCAACAGACTCTCCAATCTATGGCTATCAGCAACTCATTTGGCACCAACCCAAGAAATGCTGGCAAGCGCAATTTGGCAGATGCAGACTGGACTCCTTCCTTGACAGAAGACTTAGTGGAGTTGTCCAGTGAAGGAGATGAAGCCACAGGCCACAAAGGTATGTTGCAGCCTCTGCATTTGTATACTCACTCTTCAATTCTATAGGCAAACACCTTCATCAGGCTCACAATCCATCACTTATGGATGATGCAGAAGAGACTCCAAGTACTCGCAATGCAACACCTGCAGCCATGGACAATTTTTTGTCCAACATCAACATACAGGACATATCAATGACACCTGTACTTCAATGTGAGGAGAGGAGCCATGATGTCAGTGCATTTTTTGGCAAACCCTATGTACACAAGGCTAAGGATGGGAAAACATGTTCAGTCCAAGACTGTGAGTTGTGCAAGTAAGTGTATACTCTTTCTTCACTATTCCCACTGACAGAGTCGCAGAATGAAAGGATACCCATGCCAGATCATTAGTGACACATCAACATGTCAATGCCATATTGCATTCTGGCATTCAGTAAGTCAATTTTTCATTCTGATACTTGACACTCTAACATTTACTACAGAATAATTGTCATCAATGGTGCAAGACTAATAACTTTGAGTCAATGTTGCCTCAAGATATCAAAGAACAAAAAACAGCAGTGGCTATTGCAAATGTGCAGCAAACAAGTCTCAACAGCCATCTGCAAGAAAATCCTTCTGTTGACATTGTTGTCCCGTACATGAACACAGTCTCTCGCAAAGCCACTATTGAGTGGCTAATTTCCACTAGCCAGGTAGGTGTTGATTTATTGTATTTACAGTGATTTTTGATTATTTTGTAGCTGATTCAAGCAATTGACCACCTGAGCTTCCAGAAGATGATTGCTGTAGCAGCTCATGCTATGAGTGGTGTTGTTCTGCCAAATTGTAACACTACACACTGCAAAATCATGAATTTATTCAAGAAACAGATGATGAAGTTAAAAGAACACCTGTTAAGGTCACGTGCTCAAGGGGGTTGGATCACAAGGGCTTGGCCTCAGTTCATATGCTGTGCCCCTTTCCCAAGTATGTGCCCTTAATTTCTGGGGGCTAGAACAGTTGTCCAGAGTTCCTGGGATTTGACTAGGGTGGACAATGGATGTCCAGATCTGAAACATGAGATAAATCCAACAGATGTCTGGATGTTATTTGGACAAGTGGATAAGGCTAATCTAGATGAAGTCTGGACTAGAAACTAACAGGGGATAGACTACCCTAAGGTAGAGCTGGAGATGTAGTCTAGGATACAATCCTAAGACTCGGAATATGACAAGAGACTTGGCTCGAGTCCGGAGGACACAGGAATGAGCAGGAACTAAGATGATATTTGAATTGAAGTATTTCTGAGAGTTACACGAGGTTTATATACTGTAGGTATCATATAGGAATCAGTCAGCAAAACACAAAGGCTATGTATGAAGCATATGCAAAGTATGTAACAGATCAATAATCAGAAGGGAAACATAGTTAACCAGAGTCCAGAGACAGGGGAAGTCTAAATGGGGTTGGGCGCTGATATAGGGTTTGGATTCCAGAAGGAAGATAAAGATAGATCAGATCATTGGAGATCTGGATCTTGGATCTGGATATCTGGAGAAGCAGATTTAGAGTTGAGGGTCTGGAATGGCATATGACAACACCTCAATGTAAGTTTTCCCTTGTATTATTTTAAACTAATATTTCATACTGATGTTGCAAACAGAGCAAGCTCATGTCCAGTGCTGTCAACCTGACATGCAATGCATGGCAGGCCAGTAATGCAGATGGCTATTTTGCCACTACCAGCCACTGGATCAAGGAAACATCACCCAGTGTCTGGCAGCTTGAATGTGCTGTCCTTGGATTCACACAACTGAATAACTCCCACAATGGACAACATCTTGGGCAGGCTTTGTTCAAGATAGTGGATCAAGTGGGCATTGCTCATAAGGTAAGGTGTTAAGGTGTTAAAATCTTGGTGCAGTGCTCATGTGGGTATTAGATTGGCCACATTACATGTGACAATGCCTCAAATAATGACACAATGCTTGATGAATTGGCACATCAGATAAAGCAAGGGACCAGGACAATGTGGATCCCAAAAAAGCAGCATATCAGGTATAGTTGTGTTGTGATTTGTTTTGTAATTCTACTAACATGGAACTTGAAGGTGCCTGGCTCATGTTATTCACCTTGCAACACAAGCTGTCATCTCTTCATATAGCAATGCCCCATACTATAATCCTGAGCATCCTGATTTGTCTATCCCTCAAGCCCATGGCTGTTGAGATGAAATTGGTCTTGTGCGAGCCATTGCAGTCAAGGTTTGTCATTTTCTTGAATTATTTGACTATCATTCAAGCAACTTTGGAAGGACATCCAGACCCATGCACCTAACCCAAGCCCTGTTGTCTTGCAACTGTTACTCGACATGCCCATCCAATGGTCCTCAACTTATGTAATGCTTGACCATGCTGAGAAGAAGAGACCTGTATGTATGATAATATAAATGATGAGTCAAAACTAACTATTGTTCTTTAGTATGTTGAACCTTTTGTCTATGAGCTTGGCCTTCATGAGGCAAACCTTGTGAAACAAGCCAAAATTGATCAATTGAAGCTGCATGAGGATGAGTTGGCTTGTATTACTTTATTTACATCTCTCCTAGCTGTGAGTAGGAAGTTCCCTTCATAACTTAAGCTGATGATTACTTTAGCATGCCAACAAAGCTCAGCAAAGTTTCTCATCTGATAGGGGGGCATCCCTTCACCTTGCTTTGCCAGCTCTCGAGGCCTTACACAAGGCCTGGTTGACACATTCCAAGAATCCCAAGTATGAGTCATTTCATTGAGCCCTACAAGGAGGTATTGCAAAGATCCACAAGTATTATGACCAAAGTTTGGAGTGTGATGCATACATTATTTCAATGTATAGGTGATCAGTGGCTTATAGTAATGTTGATATTCACTGTATTTAGTGCTCAACCCATCCCAGAAGGACTCTCACATCAAACATTTTTGGGGTAAGGCCACACATGCCAAGGCTCTCAAGGAAGCCAAATGAATGGTGGGTCTTCTGTTTCAAGATATTATATATGCTTACATCTACACTAGTTTAGGGAAGAGTATATTAAGTTGTATGGCAAGCATGGTGTTCCATCATCACCAAAAAAGAAGTCTGGTAAGGTACATCAACTTCTTCAAGAGCTCTCTAGTGATGACAAGAGTGGTGATGATGAACTGGAAGAGTCGGAAGTGGATCCCCAACTGCCATGGCTAAGAGAGTTCTACCTCTACCTTAACTCACCTACTCTAGTTCCCAATAACATGCCTATCATTCAGTGGTGGGGGTAAGGTATCATTTTATGTCAACTGAATTGTTGCTGATCTAGCTTAATGTTATAGGTGAATGCTCATCAGTACCCTGTATGGGCATCCCTTGCCCATGATCATTTGTCTATCATGGCTACTTCAGTTTTGAGTGAGTGAGCTTTTTCTGCTGCAGCTCTGACTGTCACAAAGTGTCATAACTGCTTGAAGGGTGATGTTGTGGAGGTGATTCAGGTGCTTCGCATGATGTACCAATGTGATTTGATCTTCCAAGAGGCTCCTACTTCGACTTTAGAGTTAGCATCAGAGGGACTGGATGATGGCAAGGAGGGGGACATTTCAGATGTATCAGATGTTGAGTCTTGTGTTACAATCATGGTTACCCCTATCTCTTTTCTTTTCTTCACTCGTGTATTACATCATGACCACGCCTTACCGTGCCATCATTAGACCAATGATCCGCAGCTGTATTACATCACAACTGCCACATGCTGTTGTTAGATGACTCATTCCTCCTTATCTCTGACTCATCTCAATGACGTAGCTTTCCTTATCTCTGACCCGTCTCGATGACGTACGCTTACCAGCCCTAAAGCCAGTCTTATCTATATATACATGGCTATGTACTTAGCTAGAACTTCACTTTAATCTACTAGGTTTTACCCAGAACTATCCTTCGCTTAGGACCTCCAATCCTAAGTCGTCTGATAACCGATATTTGAGCCAGAGACACTCTCTCTGACTTGTCTTAAGAACCTTACATTTGTAAGGCTTGAACCGGCTTCAGGCGTGCTCTTATCGAGTACCTGTCGTTGCGCCCATCCTAGTTCGCCGTAACAAAAGATTAAAGTCCTTCATCGACCCTCTCCATCCGAGAGGTTACAGACCCCAGAAAGAATTCAGCAGAAGGACTACCACGTCCCCCTGAACCCAGAACTCAGCGAGAGAACGATAACGTTCCCCTGAACCAGAGAAACATCACTTGACCGGGCGTTCAGGATGTCCACCACAGTACCAGAGTTAAAAGCCAGAGCGCCCACCGCCTATGATGGGAACCCCCACCAGGCTCTGCGATGGTTGTATGTGATTAAGGCGTACTTCGCGCTTAACGCCACAATCTACAACACCAATGAGAAAAAGGTTATCACCGCTCTCACATATATGACAGAAGATAGTGCAATGGGTTGGGCACTTACTTTCTATACTGAAGTCGACAACTCCATCGCCAAATCTTATGGAACCTTCGCGAACTTTGAAACCAAGTTCAAAGAAGCCTTCGTATCCGCCGACGCCGTCGGTACTGCCATGAATAAACTCAGAACGTTGAAACAGACAGGCAACCTCACATCCTATATCACCAGCTTCAAGACCCTTGCTGCACAAGCATGCGTCAAGCAGGACGCTGTTCTAATCACATTTTTCAATGATGGATTGAAGAAGGGAATCATCAATTCCGTTTTTCAAATGGAGACCATCCCCGTAGACTTTGACAAGTATGTCGCTGCAGTTGTTAGACTTGACAGTAACTACCAACGAGGCGCCGCATACCGGACAAACCACCAGTCCACCACTAGACCAACTGGGCAATGCTATGTGCCTAGGCCATCCGTTGACCAACATGATCCCAATGCTATGGAAGTAGATCAGCTCACTGAAGCCGAGAAGAACGATCACATGAAGAAGGGACTATGTTTTACATGTCACCAGAAGGGCCACCTTACTAGAGCATGCCCACAGAAGAAGAAGATTCCTGTTTGCAGAGAAGAGATAAGCGACAGCGAAGAAGATACAATGATCCGTCGCCTTGCCGAGGATTTTTGATGTGGAAGACTGGATCAACGTCAGTATCTTCTGTACCTATCAGACTTGTACAAAGTGTTGGAATTAGAAAGGAACTTCGCGTTCCCATTTCCCTCATTTCCAGGACTCGTCTGAAAACCATCAAAATGACAGCCATCGTTGACTCCGGCGCTGCCGGGACCTTTATTTCCGAAGAGTTTGTCAAAACTCATGGGATCCGAACACATAAACTATCAAAACCATTTCGAGTCACCACTGTGGATGGAAGTTATGTGAAAGGGGGCGACATCACCCGATATTGCGTCCTCATTGTCAAAATTGATGAACGATCCACGATAGGAAAGTTCAACATCACCCAACTTGGTCGGCGTGATCAGATTCTACTAGGGATCCCCTGGCTACGTGCCATGGACCTGGTAATCTGATGGAAAGCAGAAACGCTGGAACTCCAGAGAACAGAGAAGAGCGATCAGATCAAAGAAGATGTTGATAGAGATAGAAAGAAGAACAGACTCCCCCCTCTCTTTCGTAAATCTAAAGAGATGGTGATCAGTAGAAAGACAGACCCGATTCCAGTTGTAGTGCTGCTGAAGGCGCCTCCTAAGGAATTGGTCACAATATCCAGAGAACCAATGCCACGGGCGACCATAGAAGAAATCCCTGATGAAGAAACTCCATCATCATTACCCAACCTTGAACCGATTCCGGACGACGATGATGACTCCTTTGACACTAAGGAAGACGTATGGACCACGGGTTACGCACCACCCGTGTGAGAGATCTCCACGTATCATCTAGAAGATGACGAATTCTTGGTTGAGTATCCTGTCAACGCCTCAGAGCTCTGGGTGATCACCAACGTTTCGTTAGACACTCCTTTGACAAAGGATGGAACTAGCATCACGGAACAACGACCTACGATTATCCCCTTG